AATAAAATTCACTGTAAAATTATATAATTTGCAAAAAATTGGTGAAAATTCTTGAGTGCTACAAGAAGGGCATCTCAAAGTCATAGTTTCTCATATTGATATAATTATTTTATGGATAAATGAGTAAATTATCTCCTAAATTTTAAATTTAGTAATATCATAAATTCCAAATTTGTTTATTGTGCAAATTATTTTTTTAACTTTTGAAAATGGTGTAATTTCGTTCTTATTGTTAATAAAAGTTAATTTTGACTATTAGTTGAATAAAAAAGGACCTCAAAAAGTACATAAAAGGATAAAAAATTATAATAAAAGACCATAAAGATTACAGACAATGCAAAAAAATTACATAAAAAGACTAAAAATAATTTTTAAAATTTTTTATATTATTTTTTAGTCAACTAATAATAAAATTAATTTTTTTAATAATATGAGCTAGATTATATTAGTTTTAAAATTGAAGGAATAATTTATATAAAAAATAAGTTTAAAATTTAAGGTGACATTAGATTTATAGTTTAAAAAGTAATTTGATGATTTACTTTTACTGTATTGCCGTCCTTTCCTATCCTCCAAAGTCCAAACGGATAAACTCCATCATTATTTATGCTCACCATCCTCCTTTCCTCCTTTTCTTTTTCTTTCTTTTGCCGTTATCCCTTTTTTTAAATTTTTAAAAAGGAAAATGATGGCTAAGATTTAAGAATAAGTTGAGTAAAAGAGATTTGCTATCCTTTAAACAAGTCTATGAGCTCACGGGAAAAAAAAAACACAGCGGTTAAGTTGAGTGAGAAATAATTAATATACTCTTAAATTGGTGGTTTGAATTTCTTGACTCTTGAGTGAAAAATGTGGGAAGAGTTACTCTCATTCTTGATAAATATTCGAATTTAGTATCATAATACTAAATATCAAATAAACATAAAAAGAACCCAACAATACATGCAAACCTTTTCACTGCCAACACAACATTTTTCTGTGCAATATTAGCCAAGACAATATACAAGACGACAGGGAAGCCAATTTATTGTCATGTAGGACTGTAGGCTGTCTGGGCTAATAATATAAAAGGACTGCAAATGAATTTTGTCTAAATTTGGTTTTTGTACTTTCATTCTCTGTGTTTTTTGTTTTTAAATGCGAGCTCCAACGTCTCACATCTTTGACCCAAAAATTGAGTACATCTTTTTGGAGGGTCCCACTGAGAATTTAATTACCGTTGCATATTTAAGGCTTAAATTCAAAATTTTTAATTAAGCTAGATCAATATTGTTACCAGTTGATCGAAGCAATGTGTAGTTGTACTCTCTTTTTTTAATCCTCAACAATTACCCCCATCACTTTGACGGGCCATTAAAATTGCCAACTTCTTTTACAATATATTGAAAATTTTAAATTAATTTTTAAAAAATGAGGTTAATTTATGAGCTATTGAGAAGTTGATTTTAAAAACCCCAAATTAAATCATGTGATCAAATAGTTATTGAGTCAGATACACGATTTAATGAGGTCATTAACTGAATTTTACCAATGTCCGTAATGAAATTAAGATTGTGTTAATTTTAGATGCGACTGATTATAATTTATAAAGAATGGTGAGCTTAAAGTTGTGAAGATAACAGAGAAAAATGAGTAGGACAAAAGATAATAAGGTAAAATACTAAAATGAGTTATAAACCACCAACAGTGGTTAAGCTAGATGCGAAAAAAATTTATGAATAAAAAAAAAGTTTTGTCACAAAAGTTTCATGTCCTTTTTAGAGGCCAACTTAAATCTAAATTACACAATAATTTTATCGGATGGTTCTCACGCAACAAAGTGGAACTAGGAATTAATTTTATGGATTCCCGGCCCAGTTTTGGACAATTAGTATTGATAGCCATTGTCGGCCCAAATGAATCCCAAAGGGCCCAAGTTCACATGCATGTAGACCCTCAAAAGCTGATTTTAAATGTTTAGCCTTGTAAACTTCCAGAACATGGCCTGCATAACGTTCTTCCCTATTTTGTTTGTTTTGATGCTTTAGAGGGACTAAGCCCATGAAATACTAATTACACTGGCGGGTATATAAATCCCAATCTCTCCTTGTTCACTAGGACCCTCAAGGGTTAAGAAATCATACTATAGACATCAATCTTATCAATTCCCTACTTAGCTAAAAAATCTGCCACTTGATTTTGCATCCTAGAGACATAAAATAGCTGAACTTGCCAAGGGAATGCTAGAATAATGAAGATTTTCGACAGCACTAGACTTGCATTAACATTGAGTGAGGCATCTTTCAAACTGTCTACTATGTTCTTTGAATGACTCTAAGGTAATTCTCCTAAATCCCATCTCCCATGCCATTCTCAAACCCTTAAGTATTCCCCACTCCTCTATCTAATGTATTTCACAAATACCAAGCTTATAAGAAAAGCCTGCAATCCACGAGCTTAAGTCATCTCTTAGAACAACTCCATAGCCTGCTTGCTTATCAAATTATGAACACCACCATCCACATTAAACTTCACCCAACCTTTAGGGGTAGACACCAATTTACATTATTCCATTCTTCCTCTTATCCTCTATTGGTCATTAAATCTTTAGCAAAACCAAAATTCTCCCTAATATTTAGGATTACATATGCTAGGTTTGCAAGTTAACTATCACTATTTTTAAAAATAAGTCATTCTTCCACAACCGTAATTTCCATACAACAACACCCCACATTCCATACTTCGATCAAAATTCTCATCATTGCTCAAATTTTCTTCTGAGTTTAACTTGATCCAATCAGTTAGAGAGGAGAAGAAAAATTGTGATATGTACCTTGTCTGTATAAGATTAAGCCAAAGCTTCTTTGCATGTATGCAATCTAGCACCACATGTAGAATATCCTCCACATCATCTTTGCACCAATCACAAAAAGGCAAGCACAACAGCCATTTGCCTCTCCTTGCATTTGTAGGATGTCCCATAAATATAATCTAATCTTTTCCACACTTTTCCATCTCCAAATAGCCTTATACATAGAGTTGTGATAGTCTTGTGGGCATCCCCTACTCATATAATAGGCACTTTTGAGAGTAAATGTACCACTTGAGTTTGAGACCATGTTATTTTGTCATGCCCAACCTATTCCAAAGGAGGCCATACAGAAATCAACCTTTGAATGACAAAATTCAATAGTAAGCCATTCATTCTAACAAAGTCCCAAAACTCAAATGATGTCTATTTTAATACTAAATTGCTCTCTTCGTCCTCAAATAGAGGTATTAATCATACCAATTTTCTTCCCTTCAAGTAGCCAATAATCATTTAAAAATTTAACACTTTGAGAATATGCCACCTTTCACCTTTATCAATTAAATCCTCTTACATACAAATGAATTTTCAAAGTGCTGAGTCTCTAGTTTTTGCCTCTAACAAACTCTTCTCATCCTTAAGCATTTACTTATGTTGTAACACACCTGTCCATAGGCCTTTCGCACTTGAAATCAATTTTCATGCAAGCTTAAAGGCCTCTTTTGTTTTGTTTTTTACTTTAAAAAAAAATGTGGGCCTCATTGAGTTGACTGTCCAAAGTCCTTTCAAAATACTCTCTACTTATATAGATTTTTTTCATAAGTAGATTCATGAATCTTGAAATCTAATAGACATAAATAAGACTTAGGCCCAATGGCTATTTTTTTAGACCTTATATTTTTAAAGAGCTAAGCTTAAAAAAATAGATGATTTTGGTATATAAAAAGGCTTTTAGGCTTTATCTTTGTAAGCCTTGCAAAAACAGGTTCAATTTCCAACTAACTCTTAAGCCTTTATAATGTTTTTGTGATTTAATTTATAAATTTACTAAAAATTTTGAGTTAATATATGATAATAATATAATTTGTTAAACATTTATTGATGAAGATGAAGTTAGTGAGGTTGTTGAAATATCATCACCTCCTCCAAGTAGACCACCTTTTAAAGTGTCTAATGTCTTATTTTTAATGAAAATTGATGATAATAAGTCTAAAATATTTACATTTTAGATATTTAATCAAAGTACTTTGTAATTTACATATATGTATTAGTATAGTTAGAAATTATAATCTTTAAAAACTAAAAAATATAGGGTTTTCAAGCCTTACTCCAAGCTCTATCAACAAAAATTACTAATTTTAAGATAGAATAATTTGTAAGCTTGAATTCTCAAAAGCTGAACTTATAAGCACTATACAAGTCCTCGTTAACACTATTATCAATAAACTGGATGATAGATGATAGTGGCAAATTATATTTTGAATCTTAGACCTCTGTCTGGATAACACTTTTATCACTTGACCTAGCCTTAATTGGCTAATGATCAATTTAATATTACCAAATCATGATGATTTTTTTAAAATGTTATATTTTACCCTAATAAAACAAGGGAACCCTTGAGGACATAGAGAGTTCTAGACTTATTGAGATAAGTACGAATGTACGATGAAAAGTCAAAGAAAACAATCAACACAGAAAAGGACGAGGGAAGCATCTATTACCCACATACTTTACACTGACTAGACCATTTTACTTTTGTCTGCTAAATATCACGCCTCATTCTTATCTCTAACACTGTAATTTAACCACAGACCCATCTTGTATCATTTGAGCCTTTTCTTTTCCGCTATTAGTTGCATACTGCAACAACAAATAATAACCATAAACTACTCGATTGATTCCAGCTGATGACAGAAATTTTACAGCATGAATAGCTGAACAAGAGCAATAATTCAATATATATATATATATATATATCATCTCTTCTCTGGAATTGTTCCTCAAGTTATTATAATTGCTATGATTACACTACATTTTATGGTTGATAACTTGTTTAAGAATTTCATAGTGCATTTTACATTTCGCTTACATGTTAATTAGGCTCCGTCACATATATGGGTTAACATTTGGTTTTAGGTCCAAATCTTATGACTATAATTTTTCCTTGCCATTTCTATTTGCAGCTCCAAATTTCTGATTTTAATCAACCATGGAAGGCAAGGGGTGGAAATTCATAATAGTTTTTTGAACGAAAATGATATAATTATGTGAATTGGCAAAAGAGAACTTGGATTGTGCAGCCGTGTTGAGCGTCCAATTACAAGTTTGTGGTGCTCATGTTCATCTTCCCTCTTTTTGACTTTCTCACGTGTTACGCCATGACTTTAAAGTGTTCTCTGAAAACTTTCAACATGCCTGAAAACGTGACGATTCCACTTAAGCTTCCGTCTTCTTCAACAACCCACACGTAGCTGACACGGTGAGAAAGAGCCTGGATCATCACCGCCACCAACGAGCTCCATGGGTAGCAAACAGTGGCTTCCGACCTCCTCACCACCCTAGCAGAGTACCCTCCGTGCTTCCCATTCTTCCCTGAGCTCAAGCCATCTTCATCGGAAGAAGTTGATGTGAACGATGACCAAGAAGTCAGAGACAGCCCTGATTCTTCCTCCATCAACTCCAAAACACCCGTAAGATTCTCCTCTTCCAGCCTCTCTTTCACCAGCTGCACCAGGTCCTCCGGTGGGCCGCCGCAGTCAATATAGGCCATCAGATCACCGGCGGAGAGCGTGGCTATCGCAGCGGCCACGGTCTCCTCACAGGAATTCAGGTGAAAGGGTGAGATCTCACCAATTAACTGGCCATCTGGATTCACAATGGCCACTGAGCTCTGATGAATGAGGGACTCTTTGATGAGGCTTAAAGCAGAGGAAGCAGGGTCGTCGTAGTTTACAGTGAGGAGGTTTTCGGCGTCTATGACGCCAAGGGAGTTGATGGGTTCGCTGTGTGTGGAAGAGAACAGCGCAATTGAGTTGAGGAGGAAGCGAATCACGTCCTCTTGGGTGAGCCAGCAGTACCTGCGACAATTGTTGTGGAAGGTGGAATCCAACGAAGATTTCTCTTCGAGAAGCTTATTCTTTCGGAATTTAGACTCTGGAATTGGTATGACCAGGTTCTGTGTCCCTTCAAGCATAAGATCTATGGCATCCAGTAGCCTACAAACAAACACAAGGGATGGTTTATGATTCATCCATAGCATACTCACATACATAATTACAGATTTGAAAGAGACAAGGTGACCGTAACTACGCAATGCAATCAATGCTCTCTTCAAATTCCTTGTTGAGAATCAAAAAAATCAAAACCTCTGTAGATTTCGTTTCATTAACTAGAAATGGACATTTCAATATTTTTCAATCAAATTCAAAAACCACACAAATTCAGAACCACAAGAGCCACATATATGTCCCTGATATTAGATTCGTAGAATCTCATCAAAAGTGCTTTCGCTTTCAATATTATTTAATATTTATTTGGTCGGTAAAATAAAGTTCGCTGAATGCAGCTTCCCCCTTCTTTCTTTCATTGAAAGAACGAGTGTACTGAGGCACGGAAAACCTAGCAGCGAAATTTATATCCAGGTGCAGGTTTCCGTTTTTCTTAATACTTAAAAAGCGTGATTCTTGCCGAAGCAATCAGTATACAAAGCATTCGCTAGATGATTTAATTTATGAATTTCACAGATTTATGATTTGAATCTATCAATTGCTAAAACAGAATTACCAAAACAAGCAAATATTTATCAAATTCAAGAAAATCCACGGAACTTCTTTATCATCAAGATGGAAAGAACAATTCAATTGAAGGAAGGAAAAAAAAAACCCTCATGAAATCGTAATGGTAACAAACCTGGCACTGGGTTCCAAATGCCTCACAAGCCCCGAAGACTTCGGGATCAGAACAGAAATGGGCGACTGAAGCGCCTGGGCTGGTGCCAAGAGATTCTCTGGTTGGCAGATGAAGCAGATGATATCCACCATGCAAACCTTACCGACACATCGGCAATCCACTGCCGCTCCTCCTACGCTTCGATTCGTTGGATCACCGGATTCCGACGAGTGGTGACAGCTCCAGACGCTGACGTAGCTATCGCCTAGCCTCTTCAAAACACAGAGCGCGTCGGCGACGGTGTCGGTGACAGAAAGCGACCTAAGCGCAGGCTTGCCAAGGCACAAATCCAAAACCTCATTCGCTAACAAAGTCACTGCCATACACAGACCGAAGGAGAAAGGGAGAGATGGGAGGCGAAAACGAGAGAGACAGAGACGACGATTCTAGAGAGGAAAGAGCCGATGGAAATGAAAATTCGTGAGGGTCAATTATTGTGGCACAGAAGAGAGGCGGGATTGGAGTGTATTTATAGGGTATGCGTTACCGGAAGGGCCTGTAATTCCGTGCAGTTCTAGGATCTGGTTTACGGCATGGCGTTCGGATACTTTTTGCTCGGATCAAATCCAGCGCTTATCCTAGCGGGCCCGTTTCCATACATAATAAAAGGCCGTAACATACGGTACATGTTATTGGTCAAAGAAAACATATACGGTACATGTTAGAATTTAACATAATAGTTTTTTTTTTTACCCTAAAGGAGTAATAATATATTATTTTTTATTTAATAATATAATACATTTTTTAATCTTTAATTTTATTTATAGGATAGAAAAAAATTAATTTTGATCATATTTATAAAATATTTTATTATTTTTTATATTCATTTTTATCTTTATTTCCTTATTAAATACCATAAAAGGCAATTAAAAATAATTTTTTATTAGAGGTGGAAGTGAAAATTTGTTAAAGTTTTTTTAGTCAGAAAATTTATTAAAGTTTAAAATAGAGTTAATCAAGATTAACATTTTTTTTGAAAATATGTTAGAAATAATTTATAAATGAGATTTGAGAGAGACTAAAAATAAAATAAGATATTTTGAGTATTTTAATGTGTAATTAATGAAATTTTTTCAAAAATGTCTTTAATCAAAGGGTGTAATTGATAATGTTTTTTAATTGAAACATCCTATTAAATAAAAGCATGTGAAGAGTGTAATTTTAAAGATAATTAATTAACTTATTGGAGATATAATTCAAGTAAAAGTGTCTTGTAATATTAAGAAGAGGAACCATGAATTTAATTTTGTAATAGGAATTGATTTAAATTACCCTTCTAATTAATTAACTTACATAACTTTGTTGGCTAAATAGGCTTTTAAAATTTTTCATGTTATACTTTGAATTTTAAGTTGCAAAATTTCTTATTTCCATGTGACGTTTTGAAAGCTACTTGTAATCACCAAATGTCTACATTCAAACTTTAATAAATACTCCTTCTGTTTTCATTTATAGAAGAAAATATTACTTTTAGTTTATTTTTTATATAAGTAAAGTTACATTTTTTAATAAATATTTATTACAAACTTTTTAAATTACCTTTCACAAGCATTTATTGTGTTAACACTTGATTAACACAATTAACGAAAGATATTTTAATCTAATTCTTTTATTTTTAAATAATTAATATAGTTAATTAATTTTATTAAACTGTGTAATACATTTTTTTTTCCTACAAATAAAAATGGAGTAGGGCTTAGAAAAGGAGTAACAATTGACAGGTCAACTTATCAACAAGTTGGGTTGAAATTTTCTAGGGTATACCCAATAGCTAAAAGTGAGACAAAAAGTATAAATACTTATAACATTGCATAATTGAATGCAGAAGTGACTAAAATAGTTAACTTTACCTTAACTCCATTAGTTTTTAGTGTTAAATTTTGACTGTGCATACCACGTGTCAGTCTTTATTAATATGGACTAAAAAAAGAGGTATAAATACCCGCATAGCCATTAGTCAAAAGCATCCAGTCTAAAGTGAGAAAAAATGATAAAAATACACATAACATTACTAGAGTTGATGCAAAAGTGATCAATCCATCAAATCCCTTAAATGTTGATCGTTTAAGTGACACCTAAGTAGAAGTTAATTATTTTTTCACTTATGTAAGCAAAAAAATATTTTTAGGTGAATTTTTACGGAGGTTTATCGATCAACGTATGAGTACCTATAATATTATTTTAATATATGCAATTGTGACCAATCTGTCAAATCTATGCCACGTGGTTTCTTTTCATTTCCACGTATCCTCCCCCCTCCCTCCCTCCCTTCCCACTCATTTTTCTTGTCTGCAGAACCTGAGATTTAACACAATGAGATAGGTTGTACACAATCAAAGATTAAGACCAAACATACCTCTTATGCTGCCCTACCTTAAGAATATTGTCACAACTTTAAATAATTTTAGTTATGATAGGTTTAAAATTTTCAAATAATTTTACCACTGCTACAAAAAAGCAAGTAATTTAATTTGATATTCAATCAAATGACATTTTCACACATGATATTTATACGATGACTAATTAATCTTAATAGAATTTCACTTGGGAATTTTTTTGTCTCTGTTAGTCAAAAAATAGTTAACTTCTACTTAGGTGTCAATTAAACAATCAACATTTAAGGGATTTGATGGATTGATTACTTTTGTACCAATTTTAGTAAAGTTATGGATATTTTTACCCTTTTTTTCTCACCTTAGGCTACTGGATGCCTTTGATTGATGATTTCATAAGTGTTTTTGCCCCTTTTTAGTTTATATTAGTAAAGATTGACACGTGACATGTACAGTCAACATTTGATGTTAGGATAAAGTTAACATTTTGGTAACTTTTGCACCAATTCATCTGACGTTATGGGTATTTATGTCATTTTCTTTCCTTTAGGCTATTGGGTGCCTCTAACTAACCACTTTGTGAGTTTTTTGTTTGCCCTTTTATGATTTTTTTAATCTATTAAAAGGTGGGCTAATATAAGTCACCTTAATGAACTAAAAATCTAGGTTAGCTCGCCTAAATCATGGGCTAGCATGTTTTTAGATTTCTCTTTTTTTATTAATTTATCATACTTATATTGAAAAAAAAAATCAAATAAAATAGATAACATGCCTATTTTTACAAGTTTTAGGGTTTATATAATTATATAATTTCATGAAAATATAGAAACAATCTAAATTTAGTTTATAGAAGCTTATAAGTCAATTTAAAAATTTAAAAATTTAAAAATGTTATTGAAAAGTGGATTGACAAGCTGGTAGCTTAGCGCCCATATAGGGCTAGACATGAATAGGGTTCGGTTGAGCTTCATTCCAACCCGATGCCTTACTCGATGTAATAATTTAGGCATCGTACTACTTGAAAGTTTAGGCAAAATTTGGCCCAACACAAAACTATTTTTTAGAAAATATGAAAATAATTTTTAATCAAAAAAAATATAATTAAAATCATTTAAAATATATTTCTTATAAAAATAATTCTAGAATTAAAATTAATAATTTTAAAATATTATATGCCTAATAATTATCTATAATTTTTATCTAATATAAATTTAGAAAGTAAGAAAAATCAACTTAAAAATTTTTAAAAAGGTTATAAAAATTTAAAATCATAAAAAAATCTATAATAATCATAAAACAATATAATAATAAAAATTAAAAAAACTATAAAATAATTTTTTTACACAAAATTAAAATAAAAGGTAAAAAGTATATATATCTTCAGGTCGGTCAGGGTGGGCATTGACCCTCACCCTAATTGGACTGTATGAGCAAACCACCCCCACCCTAGTCACAGGGTAGGTTAGAATTTTCCAAACCACAAGGAGACATGTGATTTAGTTCGCTATATGTGCTCAATTTGTAAGCGAAAAAAAAAAAAGAATTTAAATTTTCATGCACATAAAAAATGTGAAACATGAGTTGCAAATTATCATATGTCAATATTAAATTTCAAAAATATTAAATATATGTACCAAAGCATATTGGCCAACAAGTTTTTAAATCTTTCATGGTAAAATTTGAAACAAGAATATTAAGTTACAAATTATCATGGGTCAATGTTAAATTTAAAAAATTAAATGCCCTTCATTGAAGAATAGACATAGGTTGGTGAAATTATACTTTTATTTTAATAAAATTAATAAGAAATACGCTTTCCAAACAGGGTACGATAATATAAGACTCTACAAATGAACCCATAGATTTTGTGAGGATAACCATTACTTGACATTATGATGAAATTAATAGGGAGTGAGAATTTGTATATATATCCGATCCACTTTTCATTTTTAATATTATCTTGCCTGGATCCTTATCTATATATATATATATATATATAGATATATATATATAAGTCCATATTACGAATATACAATACTGTTAAATTAGAGATAATAATAGTACATTTTTAGACTTCAAGTTTATGTTAGACTTGAGTTTGGTCCTTTTAACTCTTAACGCAGTTAATAGTTCTCTATCATTTACACTGTTAATTAACTTAAAGGGAAATGTTGGTATAATCAAAATAAATAAATAAATAAATAATTTTTTTGATTTTTATCCAAGTACAACAACTAGCTTGCTGCATATGTATAGTCAATCTTGCATGTTTTTCCTCCTTTGTTGGCAATAATATCCTATTTTTTTCATTGAAACATAAGACATTACATATATATATATATATATATATATATCAACCCAAACTAACAATAAACACTATTAGAAAAAATAGTTTAAAAAAATAGTTTTGACATTGCCTTTTAATGTTGGTTCTATAAATAACCATTGTGATAAATAAGGCAGTAGTAAAATTATAAATATGTTCAATATTTTTAATCTTTGAAAGCAACTTTGACGTCGGTTATATCATAACCAATGTCAAAATAGTTTCCACGTCAGTTTTTAAGAATACCAACCTAGAAAAATAGGTTTTCAATGTTAGTTGAATAAGAACTACATTGAAAACTTAGATATTAAAAAAATTATTCGACTTTCAATGTCAATTCACATAACATTGGTTCTCAAGAGAATCGATGTTGTATACCAATGTTTTAATTTCATTTTAGCATGTCGATTGGCATTCTCTGCCTTTTTCTCTTTCAGTTTCATATTTTCCTGATATTTCCCCTTTGCACATCACATCTTAGCCGTCGTTTCCCTATCAATGAAGCTGCAAGCCTTGCAATTGAAGCCCCACCATTGTTTCGCCGCAACCATTGCCTCAAATCTCCACCATTTTTGTGGGTGAAGCTTTTGAGATAGTTTTTCTTCATTTCTCTTTATGAGTCAAGTTTATTATTTGATTTGGGATATTTATTTGTATTAATCTTTCTTCCATTGTTAGTGAATCTTCATTTCAGTATGCGCTTCCTTCTTCCTCTTCCTCTATTGTTGGGTTATTCCTCGAACTTGGTCTTTTGGGTTGCATTTTTATGATCTATAGATTTCAAGTAAGTAGCATCAT